TAAATAAGCTGAGGTACGATTCGTTCACACGTTAATACTCTCCCATAGTGATCTCTGCATTGCGAAATACACAAGTTGTCGAATTGAGTCTACTACCTCCATGCAGCACTTGAAAACCACATCAGACGTGTAAACTAGTAGTGCTACATATGGAATAATGCCCACGTCGCTAAACCCATAACACCAAATACAGTGGGACATGTAACCGATGTAATGGAAAGCTATCATCCAGATGAGTTTGAATATGGAGATGAGCCCGAGCTAGTTAACGTAACCGATATATGTACCCACCACAGTAGGACGATGAAGATGAAGAAGAAATCTTTCGATTACAGATGCTGCTGTTTGAATTTTCTGATTCGTTTGATTTAATTTATTTTTCTTTTAAGTTTTAGATTTACAAATAAAAAAAATTTCATTTATAATTTTATTTTTCCTAAAAAAAAAACATAGAAAACTAAGGGAAGAATTCCTTTACAATATATAGTTTCTAAACACCCCTCCTCCACCGAAAAGTTTCATTGAAATGTGAATGAATTTAAAAAAATCCATTTCTCCGTATTTTCGCGGTTTTGGACATCATTGAATTTTGACATTTTTCCGGGTTATGCTGTTATTGGCATGAGGCAAACAAGTAAAACCTTGAACTACATGGCAATACCAACAACAAAATATGTGACACAAATTCCCACGGAGGGGGTGGTTTCATATTTTTGGCTCATGGTCTACTCCTACAAGACGAAAAATAACTTAAGTTCTTGTTTGGTCAACACCAAGGACAAAATTGACACACTAGCCAAAAGTGGTGTCTATAAGTTGGAATGCGATTAGTGCAGTGTTGTTCTTATGTAGGAAGTAGACCATTAAAGACACGGATTTCTGAACACTTAATCAGGCTCACTTTTTTTTTTGATGAACATATAAGATTCACTAATCACGCATCCAGTCCTTAATCCAATTCGAAAATTATTCACCAAATTAGTTCCAAAAACTACAATCGCATAGATTTTTTTGAAGACATTGACATTATCCAATGAGCTAGAAAGTAACCCCTATTGTCTAAATATTGAAGTCAATCTCATTAGACCTTACATCCCTCTGCATAGGGAAATCAATTGAAAAGAAAACCTTCAAATTTTTACACACATATTGAAGAATATATAATCTCTTTTTCACGCTGAAGTGTTTTCTTTTCTTACGTTTGCAACACGCCTCTTACTGGAGTCTCTTCTGTCGGCATTTGTGCATTATTGCGAAGAAAATCTTCATCTTCCTTGGTTCAACCACCTGATGGACTGTCATTATGACCCCAGTGTTTTGGAGCCTGATTGACGTATCGCATCCATAACCACAACTCTCGTACAATGACTTAGGAAGAAGCAACGCCAGTCAGACTTTGATCCGAAAATAAAGCGAAAGGCAAAAATTTGTTCTTGATTGACACCAAATTTTTAAGCAATAATTGCCTGCTTGAGAGTAATGCCTTCAAACCTTTCCCCTTTTTTAATGTATTGGGGTTTTAATGTTAGTCCGTCGCAATTTTTAATGTGTAGTCCAGTCCTTTTTACAATTTTATGTATATTTTTAGAATTTCACTATTTAAATTTTGTGTTCATATGACTCTAATTGTCCATTCAGTGATTCCTGTGCTCTTCAATTGACAAGTGAGTACAACCTTCTCCTCGCAAATTGACTGGTTGGAACTTTTCAACGGGCACTCTGTTAAGATTATTATTAAATATACTTTTTCGAAGTACGCTAGTTTAATTTTCCTGATTGTTTTGTCTAGTTACATGCTTTTAGATTGAAGATTTTTATAACTATGGCAATAAACGAATTTCGGTGGTTTTAGGAAATATTGAAAATATTTAATTGAAATGAGATTGAAAGAATCTTTCTCTCTTTACGTTAAGTGAAAATAAACGAAAAGAAATGTAGGTTTTTTGAAACTAAAGACCGTTTTTTGATTCATGAGATAGATTTCAATGCGACATATTAGTTCATTCTACTCAAGAGAAAATACAAAACATTAAGTCAGCGTCTTCGCCAAATAGTTTATCCCAACTTAAATCTCAAGTCTTCTAAACTATTTCTCTTGCTATTTCTATTATATCAAGTTCATTCCAAAACTTTTAAGTAAATTGAAACTATTATATTATGATCTCTGTAAAGCTAATGTTGATTGGAGCTTGTTAAATTCTTATAGTGTCCTCACTCATTATAATCCTAAACTACCGATTTTTGTTGCCTTGCGATGCTAGTAGTTATGGCGTTGGAGCTGTCTGTATAGTCACCATACCTATAGATGGTAACGACACACCTATAGTCAATGAACTACAAACTAAACGTTTCTGGAATTGTCGGATATGGCATTTGTCTCTCTCTGTGTCCAAAGATAGCTATATATACAGGGCGACAATTTGAAAAGTAGCAATCGGGAATATCTCTTAGACAAAAATTACTATCAGGAAGATCTCAAATACGTATCGAGGGATTGGAGAGGGAAGCAAAATGAGGCAGTTTTTGAGTCATTCCGCCTCACCCCTTATTTTTTTTTACACGAACCTACCTTGTGCTGCACATCGTAAGATAGCTTGTTGCTATCCCTTCACATTCCTATACGAAAAACTCAAATCATACGATTAGTTTTTGAGATATCGGTGTTTAAAAGTAAGCACTTTTTGAAAACTAGTAATTTTGATTGTCCCATAGACAAAAAAATTCTGTCATATAGAAGTCTCGAATACACATCGGCGAAACCGAATAATGTCTTTATCGTAATAGGCCTCTTGCACATATTTTAATTTTTATCTGAAAACTTCTTAAATACCTTCTTAAACATAATAAATAATCCTCCATAATATTTTTTTTCAAAAAAAAACTTCTAATTACCCAATTTATTAATTAACAAACTTCGCCCGCGCTTTTCTAATTTGACGTCATAGGAAAAAGCTACGCCATTGATTGTGACGTCACGAGGTATGAACCGAGACGACTGGCCTTAGCCGCCATACGTTTTATATTGCTTTGTGTTGGAATCTACAATCTCTGTGATTTGAATTTGAGTCGTTCCTTTGTGTGATCGTGTGGCGAAGTGATTTTTTAATATATTTCCAATATGACTGAAGGATTTATAAAAGCACAGTCTGATAATTTACCTTTGGTCGACTCGTTGATGATAGCCGAGTTTTTCTCCAAAAACGAATTGTTTACGTCTGCTGAGCAACGCGGAGTTAAAGCGAAAAGGTTAGTAAAATTTGATAAATACAGATTTTATTAAAGTTCTAGCATCAATTTTATTTAAACCTTCAATAATCATACTGTGGAAACATACTAAATAGATATTATTATTATTAGGTAAATTAGGTTATGTTACCAAAATACTCAAAAGTTATTTTTTCTATTTTTTGTGTTATTTCAGGTCTGAAAGAGAGAGTTATGGAGATTCTGCAGTTGGATATGTAGAATTAAAACGGGAAAATAACATTTGTTTAGTAAAGTGTAAGATATGCCCTGAACATAGAGTCCGAGCTAAAAATTACACAGTTATTATGGAGGTAAATGAAGCTGAGGAGTCGATTTTAAAAGCGCAATGTCAGGATTGTGCAGCTTCAGAAGGTAGACTCGTTTTTTTTAATAATTAGTGTGAAACAAACTCATTGATGATGTACATACAACTGAAACTGTTTTGCGATTACTGATTACTGTATCTATACAATCACAAATATATATACCTGATATTTTTTTAGGTGGGTGTAAACATGCGATAGCATTTGTAATGTGGGTTCATCGAAGAAGTGAAGAACCAAGTCCAACCGAAACTATATCCTACTGGAAAAAACCAAAGCTGTCGGGTGTAGGTACATTATTGCAATTTGTGAAGGTTCAAGACTTTGCGAAAGATGCAAGAGAGGAGATAGTGAATCCAACAAATAAATATTTTCTGGAGCAGTTCATTGGAAGAGCCATTGAATGTGGAGCCTCTAGCCAGCTACTAAAATATTATAATGAAGATAAACTTTTGAATTTGGGAATTCACCAGCTTTTATGTTCATTTCAAAATGATGGAAAACAAATGGCAGATGAATTTATAATGTATGCAGCTTCCAAAATGTCCACAGCTTTATGTAATGAAGCTTTTAGCAAAACAAAGGAACAGAGTGAATGTAGTATATGGCGTGACTTGCGGTATTGCCGAATAACAGCTTCTAAAATATATGAAGTTTCAAGGTGTAAAACAGTGGAAGGAAGTTTAGTAGAAAACATTATTGGTGCTTCTAAAAAATATGACACTCCTGCAATGAAAAGAGGAAGAGATTTAGAAGCAAGTGTTCTACGAGTAGTCGAAAAAAAACTGAATACAAATCTTTTCCGTGGAGGTCTCATGCTGTCAAAAGACTTTTCCATTCTTGGAGCATCACCTGATGCTTATAATAATGATATTGTTGTTGAGATAAAATGTCCTACCTCAGAAAAAACTGTTTCCAACTATGTTTTAAATGGTGTCATAAATAATAAGTATTTGGCGCAGATACAGCTACAAATGCTTTTGATGGAGAAAAAATGTGGGTATTTTGTGTTGCTGATCCTTTATTCGAAAAAAATAAAGAAGTTACCCTAATTCATGTTAGTTACAATGAAGACTTTTTGAATCCCATTATAGAAAAGTCTCTGGAATTTTGGAAAACAAATATTTATGATATAGTTAAGAAAAATATGTAAACATTATTAAGTCAAATTGGAATATCATTGATTTTTTATTCAGGTTATAATATAAGGTAGATACTTATGACATATGTTTTCATTTTATTTAATTATAATATTCATTTATACATGTAAAATATGGAACAATGTTGAACAATAAATAATTTAAGCTAGAGTATAAACGTATAAAAAATTTCGAGTACATTTTTTCCTACCCTTTCATAATTAATTACAGTTGGTGTGAAAAATAAGAAAAATTAAGATCCACAAAGTTTCAAAGAACTTGTCTGTAGTTCTTAGCTTTCTGTCTGTACAACTAATGTTATGACTGTGTTTTTCGATTAATAAAAGTAAATGTTGTATATACAGGGTGTCCACTGGGTGCGATATCCAACGATATCTCCTTACAGGTCGCTGCGAGAAAAAAAATTTAAATTACAAAGTTGTTTGATACTCTAATAACACATTAGTTAAAAATATTTTTGAACATACAGGGTGCTACAGTTATGGGGTATTTTACATTACTGTCTTAGATTTTCATTAACTATCATTTGTCACCAACTTTGAATTTAACTGGAATTTTTAATCATGGATTAAATTCAAAGTTGGTGTCAAATGGTGTAAAATTAACCGTTTAGGTTTTACAGCCTATCAAAGTTGCAAAAAGTCAATTTTCAACTGTCAATATTTCCAAAACAGTTGAACTTAGGTATAGGGTATATCACATGAAATCTGCTCAGAATTTTACGTAGAATCCAAATATACAATCACATACAGGGTGTTTCAATTAAGAAAACAAAGTTCTGTCGCATACCCCATGAACGGAGCACCCTGTATATTCAAAAATATTTCCAACCAATGCATATTAGAGTATTAAATAACTATGTAATTTAATTTTTTTTTCTTGCATCACCCTGTGAGAAGATATCGGCTGATATCACACTAGGTGGACACCCGAATAGAGTGAAATAAGAAAAGATTGAGAACATAGAAGACCCAAAAAAAGATGCAAGACAACGTACTTTATTCATCTGTTCGAAATGTAAAAATAAACTATACATCACCAGACCTAATATGTCATTACATAATAGTAAATTACCTACATAAGTTAACCGAAAGCGTTAAATAAGTAGAGTTACAGTTAAATTAAGTCACTAGATTACATCACATATATACCATCGTCACCAAAAGTATCTAGGACACCAATAATGCATAATAATCTCCTGGACTAATTCTACTGTCATTCATTCCAATGCATTTAAATTATAGTTTGACAAATATTTGACAATAAAATTCATATAATAGGACAAGAGCTAATGTGATGCTGTCCCAGTTACTTTTGGTGACGATGGTAAATTATATACATAGGAAAGTACAATACATTTACAAAACTCCATTTCTATATAATATAACCATACTTCTCTTGTTTTTAACTTATCAATGGCCCCTGTGTATTCACTAAAGCACAAGCAATATTAATAATATAGTCTAACTGAGATATCAACTTAATATGAATACAAGCATGAGGCCTTAATATTTTGAATTCTCTTAATCGCCTTATCACTCTTTCAATGTGAATTCTTAGGCTTGCGATTTTTTTTGTTTGTAGAGCTTCTTCTTTACTTAATTTCGCCACACTTGGAGGTCTTACTAATTTGCAGTTTCTTTCTGCAAGCATGTTGTCTATATGTTTGAAACCCCTATCAGCCATAATGTGCATATTCGGCTGAAGTTTTTCTAAGAATCCACTTTTTTCCACAATAAGAGCATCTGACGTCCGTCCACCGAAACCATTTGAAATAAAATTTATCAATCCATCTGGGGTTGAGGAAATCAAGTATTTTATTGTGTTGGCTTTTTTATATTCAGACCACGTTAGAGCTTGTTTCACAGGATCTTCAGGCTTTTGAATTTCAATTTCTAAACAATCAATGATTGCATAGACATTGCAATATCTTGCCCGGAAAGGCACAGGCAAATATTTTTTTACCTTCTCGACAGGGAACCACTGTATTAAGCCTTTTATTGTATTGCTAATTAGGCCAACTGTTTTAGCAAACATTCTGCTTGCATTACTCTCTGACATATCAAAATCATCTGCTAACTCTTGAAAAGTTTTATCAAGACGAATTTTCTGTAAAACTAAATATATGTTGATAACATCTACTTGTAAATTTGATTGAATAATGTCAATTATGAAAAAAGTCTCATTCGTGACCCCTAAGTATAATCTTGGATTAGCTTTTATTTTTTGGAACGTATATTTTAATACAATTTTTGTATTTTCTTTGTTTATAATCTCGTCTAATTCAGAATCATTTGAATTACTAGTGTTAGAAGATGTACTCACTTTAAATTCCGAGACAGTTGATTCTGAATTTTCTAAAGGACTCAAACTTAGTCTTTTCACACTTGGTAACTTAATCGGGGATAAAGCAACATTTGTAGTTAAATTTTTAATAGGTGAAGAACCTTTACACGTTGTTATTGGATGAATATTGCATTGGATATATTTACTTCGAAAGTTTTTCCGTAGGTTCACTTGTACTCCTACAGTACGTTGCATATCCAAATTTTCTTCAATATGTGAGACTTCAGGAGGGATTTCTTGTTGAGTGGGCAAGTCTTTGGGTAAATTAGATCTGGAAGTACTAGCTTCGCATAAATTATCTTGGATGATACTGTGCCTTGCCCTTTTTACAGCCGTCATTTGCTCAGGTTGCGGACAAGTCCGCTTTCTATCTTCTTGGCAAGAAAAAATATGCGGAACTACATTTTTTTTCATTCTTTTTTGAACACCCATCATTTTCCATTCCATATAGTTCTCCATATCTTGCTCCAACTAAAAAACGACAATGTTTATAAACCCAATAACAAAGTGAGGTTAGGGAAGGCTAATATTTAATATTTATTTTTCTTGACTCCCTAAATTAAATTTTCACTCGAACACTACAAATTTCAATATGTACTTACATCAAAATGGTCTTCACATAGGTGAACATGACTTTGTAATGAGATATCTTTAGGCTGCCGTCTAATGGCTTCTAGCCATATTTTTCGTTGTGTTTCTTCCATAGGTAGCTTTATAAAAGTTTTTCCAGGAGTGGAAATTGTTGTACTTCTACATCCTGGCACAATACAATACCGATAAACCATTTCAACTCAAAAATAATTAAAAACTTCGTCAAAAAATGTAAGGTTCATAAGAATTATAAGGACGTTAAAACAAAATAATACCTCGTGACGTCAGTGACAGGTGAAATATCAAGGCTACGTTTTTAGCGGGAAATTAGCCAGTTTGAATTTTTATTATTTATTACGACCTTAATATTCCACGTATTTTGGAAATATGTTGGAGGAATACTATTTGAGTCTAATTAATCATTTTTATACAATAAAAAAAATATCTGCAAGGACCCTATAAGAACCTTTTAAAGGAGCTATCACACGGGGTAGGTTCTCATTTTAGAAAAATTATTAGGAGCGGCTAGTCCCCAAGACAAGAGGGGAGGGGGTTAGGCAATAAACATTTGGCTTCCCCGATGAGTATTTGAGACTTTTATGACAGAATTCTTTCGTCTAAGAGATAGTCAAAATTACTAGTTTCCAAAATATGCTTACTTTTACAATAACTATAAATGTTAATTGATATATGAATAATACATCCAGTATACTGGACCGGTGGGATATTTTAGCTACGACTATTAAAATATCCCGACGTCCAGTAAAATGGACATTCACTTACAGCTGTCAAATTGACAGATATCTTACTATGTATCTTACATTGGATGTCTAAACAATCTATATGTATAATAAATAAATTTGAAATACTATTATTTGCTTTCGAGCCCAGGGAGTTTATTCAATTTACCGTGGCACTCAACCTGTTACTGTTAGGTAGACTTAATAGGAATGTTCACTATTTTTCAATTGTAATAAAAAGTGGTGGTTCTAGGTCCACAAAACACGTATTAAACGTTAAAACAGCTAGAAACCCTTCATTTTTTCTAATACATCCAAAACAAAAAAACGAAAATAGCGAGGCTAGCAAAACGACCCCTTGCGGCGAGAGTAGCGCTTGTGACGTCACGTTGCGGAATTATTTACGATATAATTGCCTACAATGTATTTGTCTCTCTTCCGCTCATTGCAAAAAGTATTTGGACAATTAATAGAGTTCACTATTCAGGGTGCTTCCTAACATTCAATTACCAATTAGTTCATCAGTATCTTTATCTAAATGCATATGAAAGAAAAATACACTAATAGTAATAATAATATTAATATTTTTTATTGCCAACAAAAATCGCAGAAGCAACGTCACAAAAGGCTGATCCAAGTAGAAAGTAGCGCCATTGTACTTGCGCGCGCTAACTTGTTACACATTGTGACGTCAGAGAGTGTTTCTTGCTTTTAAACGAATATTGATATTTCGTCTCCGTTTTTCTCATAGAATGAATTTTCTAATTTTCGTAAAATTTTGTTAATTTACTTAAGAAACGATGCTTAATAATTTGATGATTGTTAAACGGGATTTTTTTATTTTGTGAACATCCCTATTTTTGCTCGGTGAAAATGGCCATAAGGGAAAAGGACGCTGACGCCAGTCGGACTTTTAGAAAATTAAGCGAAAGGCAGCAATGTGATTTTGCTTGACACCACATTTTTAAGCAATGCTTAAGGGTAATGCCCTTTCCACCCTTTTTTAATATATTGGGGTTTTAATATGTTAGTCCGTCGAAATTTTTAATGTATAGTCCAGTCCATTTTACAACTTTCTACAATTTTACTATTTACAATATATTTATGATCCCAATTCTCCATTCAGTGGTTCCTGTGCACTTCAACTGGCAAGTACTAACAGAACAGAAGTTAAAGTAAAAAACTTTGGAAAAGTATTGTCGCGTTTGTTTTTGTTGTGTATCATGGAGTTGTATGTGAGCCTTTTTACTCGGAAATTTCTGTTATATAAAGAGGTAAGATTTTTGTATCCTCTATACCTATTTTCTTTTATGTATTTTATATTATTTTTATGTTTTTGTTTTGTTGGTTTGTTTTTTATACCTACTTAATTTTTTTTTTAATGAAGTTTTTTACTGTTTTAATATTTTTCGAAAAAAAAAAAGAAGCTGATTTTGTCAGTATCATGATTGTAATTCAAAAATGGTTTTCTTGCTTTCAGCCTTGATAAAAACCTAAATAACAGGTCGAAACGTCGGCGAATTTGTAAACAAGGAAGTTTTATTCCACTTCGTCCTTAACCCACAACTGCTCTCTACCATAATTATTACTTTTGAGGACACTATATTTTGACTATAAGTAAACAATGTAAATAGTGCTTTGTAAATATACGCGCAAAGCCAAAAAAAAAAAAATAGTTTCAATTATACACTCCATTCCTCCCCATGTGGCCCTGTTCCCTATAGGCTTTACGCGACGTAATACAGAGACAGCCCTACAAAAGGCATTCAAGCATTTGAGGAGTCTTAGGAAACAAATAGGTACTCCAAACGATTTATTACGAATAAAAATATGAGCTGGCACTTTGAATTTGATTTATAATTCAACCCCAATGCGAATAAGTTGTGGGCTGTGGGGCAGCGGGTACATTTACAATATTCTGGCTTGTCCAATGGTTTTGGTTTGACTAAGCCACATAATATGAAACAGATATACCTATTATGGGTTACTCAGTGTGTTGTAGTTACCGTTGGGTTACCGCTGTTTGAGAAAATTGTCCTTAGTTTGACAACCAGTGCAGGTTACCACCATTTGTGAAACTGGGCCTCAGGAATACTTGTCGCTAAGGCTTCCTTGAAATGATCGGTGCGAACGGCTATCAAGTGGAATGGACATCTATCATAAAAAATTGAAAACAATGTATCTGATGACTATAATCAGGTACATCCAATGAATAACTAGAAACTGGAATGCGCACACATATTGACGAACGTGAAGCCTAGTACCGCTGCTGCGGAGAGGATGCCTATTTTTGTCGCACTCACATTACGTTAAATGGCGGAAATTGCTTTCAACACGTATTCCAATTGATAAAACCTATGTAGGTAAATGTTACAGTCACGTCAGCGAGCAACAGAAAAGAACAACATTCCCCCTTGTGGCATTTGTCTTTCATGGCTTCATTTTTCTAGCGGATATGGCAATGTGTGCGCATTCCAGTTTTTGATTATAGTTCATTGGTGGCTGTTTGCACCGACCATTTTAAGGAAGCCTTAGCGATAAGTAGGTATTCCCTAAAGTGACATTTCTCCGTGTAAAAATGTCATTTAAAATGGTGCAATGCCACCGGTGCAGTGATTTATTGATTCACTAACGCATGCTAATGTCAAACCCTGTCTAATTTGACAACACTGTGATATAGGGTCACTGTATTTGATGTAGCTATTACAGTAATAGTACAGTAAATAGGGATATTTTACTAAAAAAAAAAACTTAATGGCTGAAATTTTGAGGGTGTGTTCGGGGGCATGTCCTGAGTCTAAAACTGAGTTTTCGTATTCGAGGGGGTGGGGGAAGATACTACCCTCTCTTTATGTAGGGTTGAGTTCGTTTTAATTCCTTATCTTCGGTGCTATTGCCCGTACCGTCAAGTCCGAGAGATCAAATTTGTGGGAAATAAAATTATCTATATAATGATGATAAAATCAAGGTCATAGAACGATTAGGTGAATCACAATGGCCGGTCAAAGGTCAAAAGTGGGGGTAGTTTTTGGTTTTTCGTGAATACCGTGAAACCGGTAGGTTTTTTTGCATACTGCTTCGATACCATTTTGGAGTACTTGAAATAACCTACAAAATGAGAGCTGAAACACTCATCTACTGTGAATAGTTTGCCGGCAATCCAACGACCAAGTTGACCACGCGCGCTTAGGAAGCGTCAGAGCAAAAAACGTCTAGAGACATTTTCGACGTATTTTTTCCTCCTCTATCCGATTAAAATTTTAATTTTTCAAAATTCGTGAAAATAAATGCAAAACGCGTATACCCCATTCTACGCCTTTTCTCAAAATTGGGTGATAGGGGCTAAAACCTTTCCTATATGTCGTAGAGAGCTGAAACTTGAAATTAAACCTTTTTTAGACCCCTTTTACCTACACTTTAAATTTCATCCAAATCGGCCCAAAGCCCTTGGGACGTCATTTTTAGATCGCAAAGTTCTCGAGATATTGCGTTTTTCATGTTTTTCCCCCCCTCCAAATTTTTTTAAAAATTCGTCCCCCCCATCCATTCGATAGAGGAACTTTTTCTCTACTTCCCCTGAAAATTTCATTTCCGCCCTTTTTCTCGGACTTGACGGTACGGGCAACAGCACCGAAGATAAGGAATTAAAACGAACTCAACACTACATAGAGAGGGGGTAGTATCTGCCCCCACCTCCTCGAATACGAAAACTCAGTTTTAGACTCAGGACATGCCCCCGAACATACCTCAAAATTTCAGCCATTAAGTATTTTTTTTTAGTAAATGCGATTTATTTGTCTCTATTTACTGTACTATAATAACTATTGGTTCACTGCGTCATCTATCTATTCAAGTTAAAAATTTTTTGTCTAATCTTCGATCTCGCGAGGGCCCCTTGGAATTTTGGGTCCGGTTCTATAGAACCGGTAGAACCCCCCTTAATCCAGGCCTGCCAACAGCTCATATGGTATGGGCATGTTATGAGAATGGAGAAGGAGAGATGGCCAAAGAGAGCATTGATGTACGTTCCATGGAACAGGAGGAACAAAGAGAGACCGGCGTTATTATGGATAGATATCATTCAAAAAAAATATGTATGATAAAGCGATAGAAGAGGAAGGATGGAGAGAACGTAAAAATGGCGATGGAAATGCGGAATGCGGCAGAATGCTGGAAGATCCCCGCGAAGATGATGACGAAGTTGTGGGCAATAGAGGTCTTGCATATTCTAGGTAAACTTCTGAATTCACTAGGACCCGTTAATCATACTCGAATAAATACGGCTCCAATAATGTCAAGTTTTCGCGAGACTCCATGAATTCTAAGTCGAGAAAGTGGCATTCAAAAGTTCGTACAAGAATTTTAACTAAAACAGCATTGACAAGTCTTTCAAAAAAGTTTCGTTTTGATGGTGATTTATTCAACCTCCTCGCCAAACGTTAGACTTCATTTAAAACAAAACCTGTCATAACCTTGATGGTGGTGAGCAAACGAGTGTATCAGTCTATCACTGTTATGAGATAATTCTTGTGAATAAAAACTATCGATTCAAAGAATTCCACTTATTACCTTTCTTATTACAATATTTTCTACACCTATGGAAACAGAGATATTCTTAAAAAAAATCTTCCTCCACCCTTCAAGTGAACATGATATCGCTGAAGACCTTTTGCCCCTCATTTAAAATATCAAAGCATAGGTTTATACAAAAATCTAGCTTCTTGGCATTTTTTTCCCCCGAATACTTTCTACAATGACTGGACTACATGAATATTAACAACAAAATTGCGATTCAGACTTTACTTAAATTAATTTGAGTAAACTTGCGACAGCGTCTCAATAAAGTTTCGATCCAAACAAGCACAAAAGGAATAGAGACACTTTTATCGAGCGACACAATGTAATATTTCACTTTAGAGGCTTCAGAGACTTTGGCACACTTTTTGATTTCTATAACTTATTACACACAGGCGAAGCCAAAAGAACTCGTGTTTGTTTGAAAAAAAGTTCTTTGATCAAATTTTGTTACGTAATGCTTTTTAAATTACTAGGCGACACAATATGTGTCCCTTTGTTCATTAAAGGGCATCAAAATGCTAAAATCGGGAGTATTTGCATTGCAAATATTTCAACGTGAAGTTATTTCCCGGTAGGTGCTAAAGTTGACATAAAATAAATTCAAATATTTGATCAACCAAGAAGGTATTTGGCTTTAGGACTATTTGGGAATGTATATTTAGCTTTGGATTTGTAAATTAAATCTAAAATTTCATCCTTGGATTCGTATTTATGCTGTAGTCTGATTTTCTATTCGGCTTACAAATCTTTACAATTTTGCTGGTGAAAATACGCTTAACAAATACCTTTTCATTCCGTAAAGAAAAATATCGCTGAGGTAATTAGGTTGTATAGTGAAATTTTCTTTAAAATTACAAAAAACATAAATTCTTACCAGAATCCTAGCACAGGCGTCATGATCGTAAATAGCGGCTATGTGTAAAGCCGTTCTTCCGTGTTCTCCACCTTGTTGAATGTCAATTTTGTCTCTGTATTTTGCCATTGTTCCGAGCACGGTGATTTTGCTAAGCTCCGTTGCCAGGTGAACCGGAGCTTGTTTCTTCTCATTTAAAATGTCTGATTTCACACCACTATATGGACAAAAAAAAACAGTACAACTAAAATGTTTTCAACAACGGATTAGATTCAATATTATTGGTTTGTTTTATCTCTCCGTTCAGATATTATCTATAGTGGATCAATTAAGGAAAAACACGACTTTGTAATTTAGTGAATAGTTTATGCATCAAATTCGAGGCATTCTGGCCCAGTTTGGAATGACTGCAAATTAATGAGAAGCGGAAGAATTTGTTCTAGAATCAGAAACGCTAACTTGATATGCGATTTATATTTATTTTTATCATTAAATTATATGCGTAAATTATATTAAACGTAACGATGTTAGATCCTCGAAGAAATGTCGCGGATTTAAAGCCTGTCATGCCTCATCACACAAAATATACATTTCTTCCACATTGAAAATGAGATCATAGTAGAAGCTAAACAACAAATGGAACTCGTTGAAATGATCAAGATTGATAAAGGAGAAAATACGGAAGAACAATGTATAAAGTGACTGAAATGGTCAGAAAAACTAATATTGGGAATGTAGCTTCAGAAGTGACAGGAAACGACAAAAATTACAGTGCTAGTTTGTCTTCCTCAGGTGTCAGGTTCATTGTTATCATTGGACATTGATTTATATTTCGCTTTATTTTAAAATAAGTTGGAAAGTACTATCCGAAGCAATCTTAGGAGCAGCGAGAGTTACTGTGAGAGTAAAGCCAAGAAACAAAAATAGAAACCACTGGTACGATCCGGAATGTTAGAGGGTACTTAAGGAGAGAACGGAGAGAACTAATGCAAGACTAGTAATGATGCAGGATCTTACTGACGACAATAACAGTAAATTCAGACAACTAAGAAGAGAGGCTACTGAACTACTAGGGAGGAAAACAAGAGAACCACAGGATCAGCAGTTGCAGGAGCTGAAAGTCGATTGAAGGAACAATACCAGGATATTCTATAAGACGATAAGAACAAGAAAGAATGGCTTTAGACTCAAAACCAACAACATCATCAAGAACGAAAACGAAGATTCAGTGACCAGGAAGATCAAATGCTACAAGCATGGGAAGAGTACTTCGAACAATTACCTAACCAAGGTTATAAAAAAGAACCGACTAGCTTCCAAACTGCGGAAATGCGAGAAGAATACCCCTCTCGAATGGAAATTGAGAATGCTATAAAAAAGTTGGAAAATAATAAATCTCCGGGTAAAAACACGATAACCGCCGAACTTTTGAAACATGCCAGAAACACATCCCAACTACACGAACTCATAAGAACTATCTGGAGAAACGAGAAGATCCCAGAAGACTGGACAGGAAGCATAATAATCTCCTTATATACCCAAAAAATGAGACAGAAAGATATGCAAAAATTATAGAGGAATATCGCTCATAAACGTAGCATACAAAGTTCTATCAAATATAATCCTGTCGAGAATAACCCTATTCACAGAGGAGATAATGGGAGACTATCAGTGTGACTTGCGGACAAACCAATCAACAACCTACCAACTGTACACAAGTAGAGAGCTACTAGAAAAAAGCTGGGAATTCAATAGACAGATACACCAACTGTTCATAGATTTCCAACAGGCCTATGATAGTGTGAAAGGAGTTGAGATCTGGGAGACAATGACAGAATTGGGGATACCTCATAGGAACATAAGACTAACAAGAGTTTGTGTGGAAGGTTCCAGATGTAGAGTGAAAGGAGTGATATGTCGGACATATTCAGGGTAAGTACGGGATTAAAGCAGTGTGACGCGCTGTCCCCGGCTCTTTTCAACTTGCCTTGGAAAAGGTGGTAAGGGACTCTAAACTCGAAACAGAGCTCTAACAAACGAATGGTTCGCAACTTGAATTTCCTTATGCGGTCGATATTGACGTGCTGGAAACTAGCAAAAAAACGTTTGTTAAACTATGGAAGCACGATGCTTCTAAAATGGGTCTAAGGATCAAAGAAAGCAAGATTAAATGAATGCATATCTCTAGGACAGACAGAGGGAGAGTGGGACAAGATATGAAAAAGAATGAGTACAAACTTTGAAAGAGTCGAGCAGTTCAAGTGCCTGGGTTCGATCATCACAGACGACAATGACATCGGCGAGGAAATAAAATACCGACTAAAAACCACAAACAACTGCTTCTATGCCCTTAAGAACAGGTTTGAATCCAAAGAAGTTACCAGAAGATTCAAAATTGAAGTATACAAAACTTTCATCAGACCTGTCATCATATACGGCTGCGAATCGCAACATAATAGAGGCTCAACGGCTTAGATGGGCAGGACCCGATGACCGATTGTTTCGCATGGAGGCAAGTCGTCGCGTAATCCAAAGCCAAACAGGGGCAACGGTGTAAGTTAGTAAGAAAGCATGGCAAATAATGTTATTGGAATATGTGGAGCGGTTAGAGCAGTTAGTTGTTTGTAATGCTATCAAAGAGAAAATGAAAGTATCAATGTTACCCAGCACTTAAAGATATCCAGATATTTCAAGTTCGAACATATGACGTCGTAAAAATTAAATTAGTCAAGCAATATAGTTCCAAAAGGCTCCAAATAGCTGAAAGATATAAGTTTTGGATAGCACTACAAGAGCCAGATGAAAATATCAAGGCCCTTGTTAAAACATTAAAAAAATTGTCAGTGCATTGCAGTTTTGGTTCTTTTTTACAAGAAGATTTGACGCGACAAGTTTGTCCGTGGTATACAGTCTCAGTACGATTTATGAATAAAGAAAATTGTCTCGGTGCCTCAGTCTATTGATAAGATTTCATTTGAAAAGTAAGTACATTTTCTAATGAGAGCCGCAATAAATATCAGTCTCTTGAGCCAAATAATAAATTGAGTCGAAATTATTGTAAATTGTGTCGTGTGAGGAATAAGCATGATCCAGAGAAGTGTCCCATGTTTTAAGGGCAAAAAAGGTGATACGAGTCGTGTGTGTAGAAAAAGTAATAGATATCCATGAACTAAATGAGGATTATGGTGAATCGTCCAATGCAGATGATGAATCAGTGCTTGGGTATTCATAATCGATTCAAAGCAACTCTAAAGAAAGCTAGTCCAGTTGAAGTTGGATATCGGAGGTGAACTCATAAACTTTGATATTGCGAGTTACTTGGCGAATTTAAGAAATGCGAGTTACTTGGCGAACAGAACACAGATTGTGAAAATTGGAGACTCTTACAGCGACCCTTGAAATATCCAAATTGCAGTTCCGCAAGGTTGTTCTAGGACTTATTCTGTTCATCCTATACATACAGATAACTCTAATTCTAATGAATCTTTTTTAGACAAACATTGACTTGCTCAATTTCTGACAATCACTTAGTTTTCGATAATAATGATCTATTGGCTTAGAGAGGTAGAATTGTTCTGTATGCCTGGATATACAGTAATATCTTCCTTTTGCAGAAACGTGTTTGGTTATAGGGTTACATGATTTCAATGAAAACTAAATTCCTAACTGTCAATTCTTCTCAGCCCATAGTAAAATTTAATGGTTCTCCAAAGTTTCACCCATCAAGTGAGTTCATATGTTTTAGGTAAAAATATGGAAATAAAAGACCTTTTTCTCACAAGAATTTTTGTGAGAAAAAGGTCTTTTATTCCTATATTTTTACCTAAAATTTAATGACCTGCTAGAAGAAAAAGTATTTGAATTTTCTATTGCATTCTCCAAAGCTTTAACAGCGATATGCAACATCCTCTTTAACTAAAAAGCGCTTTTTAAAACTGGTCACTTTTAAAAATTTGTACTGCATGTAATACAAATTTTTAAAAGTAACCATTTTTAAAAAGCGCTTTTAAGTTGAAAGAGGATGTTGTATACAGCTGCATATGTTTATGTTATCTGTGTTTACAGATAACCGAACGCAGAAATTAATGCATTTTTCAATAGGATAGAGGCCCTATATATTATCATCAATCCATTTTCCTCTGTGATATTAGCTGGTGACCTAAATATTAGTTTTTCTACAAACGTGTTAAAAATGCAATTTTTAACACCGCCCCGAAGCATTAAAAATGTTACTTTATCGCACTAGTGCCATAAAGTCTTTATAGCACTAGTGTTAAAAGTGAAACATCAAATTTTGAGAGCGGACGTCAAAAAAAGTTTGTATTTTCAGTTATTTACATTGATAATAATGGTGAAATTTGAACAACTGAGGTAGCCCGATTGGCCGCCTCATCTATATTTTTCGAAGGATCGATGCAACTCTCTTTTTCTTCTGTATTTTGTTGCATTTTTAGCAAAAAGCATTCCTGACCACGACATACTTTCAAGAAACTGACAAGACATTTCGTTACCTGTAAAACAAGGTGCTGGTTGTATGGATTTTTTGACAAATGTCAAATTCAAGAATTTTATGTAGGAAAGATGCTTCCAATTTATTATTCATTTAAAAATCCAATTTGTTAGTGGTTATTGCTTTTTATTGCCGTTTGTAGAAAAAATATTGTATGATATTTGTGTTAAAAGTATTTTTAAAGCACTTATGTGAAACTTTCACATGCGTGCCTTAAAAATGTACTTTTAACACTTATATCATAAATAACTATTTTAGGACACAGGCAGGACTGCAGCCATAAGACAGACCAATTTTTTTAGATCTTTTAATTAACAAATGCATGTTAATGTTAAATGTCCAACTCGTGTGTCAAAATTTACGTCTACCTTAATAGATTTAGGTATGTTCAAATATTTGTTCTGACATTTTTGATTGCTCAGTTAATAATGCTGCCTTGTCCGATCATAATGCCGTTCTGTGTAACGTTCACATGATTCCTATAAAAAAAACAAAAAGGTATAAACAGGGCAAAATTTTAAATTCGTCAAACTATGATAAGTTTCACCGACTATATAGTGGAGTGTTTTTTCGTCTCTGGATCCTATTGGGGAGTTTCACAATAAATTATTACAAAGTTTTCACACGACATTAGATGTTAGGAAAATTAAATTAACAGATAAAAAATCCTGGTTTACCAGAGGAATTAAGGTGTCTTCTATGAATCT